CTGGCACCAGTGAAGTGTACACCTAAATGCAGGCTTGGCGCTGACACCGAGCCTAGAACTTTACGGAAGATGGCCAACCAAACAGTCAGAGATGCTTCCATCAATTGCTGAAAAAATTATCATTGAAATAAAAAAACCCTAAAGGTTATTTTGAGAATACAACTGTAAACCCCGGTTTAAGGAACACTGCAGTGAGATGATATACAATGTAGGATGAGAACTTAGATATTTAAGGCCTCCTGGGGATGAAGAAGGATGAATGAGAGTCACTGAAATACACCGAGGGAGGGAGTTGAAACTAGCAAGAAGAGCAGGTGCAAAGGCTTGAGGATCTGTATTTTTCAAGCTGTAAGTAACTCCACCTGGAGAGTCTAGTGAGTGAGGGGAGGGGGCAGCATCAGGTACCACGCCTGGGAAAGGTCAGAAGGGGCCAGGAAATGTGTTCAGATGTGTTCTTTTAGGCTTTGGGAGAACTAAATACTCCATTGAGTTGGAGTATGACATGACCAGATTGCCTATTAGAGAGATGACTGACTCCTCTGGGAGACAGATTTGAGGCAGGAAGACCAGAACAAAAGGGTTTCAATGACGGGAGATGATGAGGGTCTGAACTCCTACGGCAATGGGAACAGAGAGAGTGGATCTGACATCCTAAAGGTAGAATCAAAAGGATTTGGAGATGGACTGGCCGTGGAGGTGAAGGATTGGGAGGGGAATCTTGAACTTACTTGAGGGTGTCTGGAATGGCAACTAATAACAGAACATTTAAGGTTATTTGGAGTCCACAACTTAACTATTTTTTTCTTGAACAATTTTTAATGTTTTGGTTCCCAGGAGTAAATAATAATAACTAATACGTAGTACTTACTATGTCAGTCACTGTTCTAAGTACTTCATTTTGTTGAATCTAAAAGCCCATTCACTATAAGATGCACCATTACTCACGTAGCATTAGAGGAAAAAATACTGTCAATTAAATATACACGACACAAAAGACACATCCTGATTTCAGGGATGTTAAAAATGGATGTCCTGGAATCAACGGTTTATGGCATATACTCATTTATCTTTACAACAGCCCTCTGAGGTAGGGACTGTTTTATCCTCATTTTACAAATAAGGAAACAGAGGCAGAGAGAGATTGGATTAACTTGCTTGATCCAGGTAGCCAGTGGTAGAGGCAGGATCTGGCCCCAGGCAGTCTGGTTCTAGAGGCTGCACTCTTAGCTCCAAGCATAGGCATCTAAGAAAGCACTAGAGATGTTACTAGAGATGATACTAGAAACCCTGGAGAAACTGCACCCTGCTTTGCAGTTCTGTCCTCAGTAGGAAGCAACCCTAGGGTACAGTACGTCAAACTCTCAGGCCGGCAACTGTGGGGAGGGAGCTGTCCCGGCACTGAGGACCAAGAACACCTAGTTTTCTCTCACAGAAAACACTGTGTTCCCTCGTGTGTGGTTCCTGACTCTAAGCTATGACGTTTCTTGTTGGAGAGACAAGGCATATAAATGGATATATGTGAAACATTAATCATCTGGCACAGAGCTGTGCTGTTTTCAATATTACCAAAGGTCAAAATGTGCAGAACAAAGAATTAGGACTTTGGGTCAGGATGAGGAGTGATCAATTAACTGATTCATTTTTATCAAGAAATATTTATGGAGAGTGTGCTATATACCAGGCACTGGGTCAGGCCCAGGGAAACTCAGTCCTGTCATCAAGTCCAGAAGGAGGGGGTGGTCAGACAAGAATATCACACGCACAAAGATAACTGCCATACATTTACTTCAAAATCATTCAAAATAATCCAGGGATGAGGGGGTGGTGAGGGTATAGCTGAAATGTGACGGGTTTTGTGTGAACTGGTGAAGCCAGGTGATGCATACACGAGTTCAATACACTATTATACTTTAAATATGTTAAAGTTTCCTGAGCCAGCCCTGATGGCCTAGTGGCTAAAGTCTGGCGCACTCCACTTCGGTGGCTCGGGTTTGCTTCCTGGGTGTGGAACCACACCACCCATCTGTCAGTTGCCCTGTTGGGGTGGCAGCCCACATAGAAGAACTAGAATGACTTACAACTAGGATACAGAACCGTGTACTGGGGCTTTGGGGAGGAAAAAAAAAAAGGAGGAAGATTGGCAACAGATGTTAGCCTATGGCAAATCTTTCCCTGCAAAAAAAAAAAAATCCCATAGCAATAAAAATGAGGAAGAAAGAAAACAGAGTGAACATGTCCAAAAGGAGCCCATTCCAAGTTTAATAACGAAGAACTTTATGGGCTCTTTAAAAACGACATTTTAATTAGACTTGAGAGGCTGTGGTTACCTAAGGAAACCAAAGGGCCTGAAAGGAAAGTTCCAAGCATAGGCATCTAGTGTAGCATTGTATCCAAGTTTATTATTATTGTGCTTGTAGGATGTGTTAAATTACTGTGTATTTTGATAATAAAAATCTACCAAAAAATATATAACTGCCGTAAAGCTATTTACACAGCATTGTGAAAGCACAGGAGAAGGAGCAAAATATTCAAAAGTTGCGTTTTGAGATGCTGCTGGGATCTGGACATAAGAAGGGGAGGGCATCCCAGAGGCTGGATTACCATAGGCAAAGATTCAACACTGGAATAGTGAAACCGATGCTAATGAAACAGAAGGCAAATTTAGGAGGCAGTGAGAAATAGGATTGAATAAAGTGAAATGGTCTAGGGCCCTTAATATCACTTAGGTGTAGGATATATGTATATATCTTATCTCTAACACTTACATAGCATTTAAGAAGTCACAGGTGCCAGTGTTTTGCAGTCAATGGCTTTTACAGCACATTCTTGAAAATAATAAAAGTAATATTTTGGGGGTCTGTAAAATTATTTAAGATTTCTTGAAAATCATCCTGCATATTTTGGAAAATAAGCATTTTCTATTTTTACCACTTGCTTAAAAGGCTTGTTTTTAACCACTATGAAGCCCATGATCTTTCTACCATGGCACACTACCTCCCCAAGGAGGATGGCAGTCCTGGATATTTCCTCAAAGAAAGTCTCAGGCAGAAAGTAGAATCTGGACTGGGACTTTAAGGACCATTATTATAGAAATAAAATTGCTAAGCCCAGAAGTCTCTACCCCCACCACAAGCCTGTTGCTCAAAAGGACCACCTCAGTTACATGAAAGGCAAGTTAATACTATGATCCAATGTCAAAAGGACCCGTCTGATTGCAGTTAATCTACACCTTCCCCTTAAGTTTTCATCTAAACCAAGAATTCTCAAGTCCTCAGATCCAGGCAACAGTGAAGGCGGTTCTCTATGTAATTGGACGATCAAGAGAAACTTTGTGAACTTTCTGAAAACGCCGTGTACACGAAGGGTTGTGTCTGTCGTTACTGTCACACAACCGTCTCGAAAGACATCAGGTTCAAATCCACTTCTTTCCCGACCGCCACTCCTTCTTTTACTGTTTCCTGTCTCAGTATCCTTTTTATTTCCCTCCTTAGTGGGTGAATGTCAAACAAATTCAGACAAAGGTAACATTTTAATACACCAATTTAAAAGAGCATTTATTTCTGTAATGTTGCAGAAACACCAGAGGGGAGAAAAGAATAGACTTCCACTCTGAATTCTCTCACTGGCCGCCTTCTCTCGCTGGGTTCCCTCGGCCCAGCCCTCAAGGCTCCGTCCAGCCAGCCCAGCCAGCACCGCCCGCCTCACCCGGGACCGCGACCCTGCGGCCTAGGCAGCGACCCGAAGGGCTTCCTGCCACTCGACAAGTTCACAAGACGGACAGCGGTCCCCGGCCATCTCCGTATCCGGGTCGCCGCGTGCCCCCGCCACCTCGCTACAGACTCAACCCTTCCCCTCCCGGCCGCTTCCCTTCCCTTCCCTAACGCCGCAACTCTTCCTCTTCCGGGAACTGGCGCGTTTCCGGCGCCCGGAAGTGCGTCATCAGCCGGCGCAGCGCAGCACGCCGCAGAGGCGCGGCGCGGAGGTCCTCGGGTTTGGATGCTCGCGTGCACTCCCCGGAGGGGGGTCCAGCCAGGAGCAGGGGCAGCCGCTTCTCGGCGCAGCCATGCAGGTCTCCAGCCTCAACGAAGTGAAGATTTACAGTCTCAGCTGCGGCAAGTCCCTTCCCGAGGTGAGTCACTTCGGGGGCCTCCTCAGCGCGGGGCACCTGCCCCCTCTCCCCGGCCCTGGCCGCTGTTTTAGCAGGGAGGGCCCTGGCCGGACGCCGACTCCGGGAGGCCCAGAGGCGAGTGACGGCGCGGGGGAGCTGGTCGGCACCGGGAGACGAGGACACTGCTGTCACCGCGCCAGAGCGGGGCCGAGGGTGATCAGGGTTCATGAGCTTTGCTTGAACTTTTGTAAAGTTCCCTAGAACAGAGGCCGCGTCCCTTTGGGCTTCTGTGGATGTTCACAGCCGCTGCCACATCGAGGAGGAAAACGGGGACAGATTAGTTGACAGACATTTCTCCCCCATTTTAATACGTGTTGATTAGCTGTTTGTTGAGTTCCTGTGTATACCAAGTTTTAGAAATACAACAGTGAGCAAGAGAAATGCAGACTTTGCGTCTGCAGAATTTATTGTGTAGAGGGCAGTGTTATTGAACCCTGTTGGACTTAACTTGATTTCGTTGAGTCTTAGGACATCAAAGTTGTAAGGGGCTTGGAAAATCAGTGATTCTTTTCCAGTCTTCTCATGTTTAAAATATGCAACAGATCCAGCGAGGGGAAGGGTGACTTATTCAGGGTCACACTCCTAGGCTCTGGAGCTTGGATTTTATTTCTTATAAGTGATGGTCAAGCCTCTGTCCCAACACTTCCAGCCAGAGGAAACTTTTTGCAGACGTTTATTTCCATATTGAGACTACTTGTTAGCTAGGGGTTTTAAAACATGCCACTTTATAGCATGCTGCTGTTGGTCTGAGTCCTGCCCTTGGAAATCAGAATAAATATAGCTCTTCCATGTGTTCACTCCTGAAAGATTTGGAGCGAGTGATTAGATTCTTCCATTCTTCTCAGAATTCAGGTTAAATAACTCCTCAGCTCCAGTTGAGAAGTGACTACGTGCAGGCAGCCCTGTTCTGAGTGTTGGGATATGTGGTGAACGTGTCAGATAAGGTTCCCTGTTAGGGAAAAGGATAATAATTAAGTAAAGAAGACAACTTCAGATACTGGTAAGTGCTTAGAGTGATGAGTGACTAGAAGAGAGCTGTTGTAGATGAAGTGTTCAGAAAAAATGTTTTGACTAAATCTTTCAGGGAAGCCCTCTCTACAAGAGGTGACATTTGTGGAGAAACTTGGATGATGAAAAGGGGCCAGTCATGTGAAGATCTGGGGGAAGGAAGAGTTTTCAGTGCTGAGAGAACAGCAAGTGTGAAAGTTCCACAATGGGAATGCACTTGGCGTGATGGAGAAGTGGCACAGCTGTGGCTTTGGTATGCTGAGTGATGGGAGAGAGTGGGGGAAGATGTGGCTGGAGAGGTGGGCCTTGCAGGCTAAGGTAGGAAGTTGGGGTTTTATTCTTAGTGCTGTTGGAAGCCATTGATGGGTTTTAAACTAGGCTGCTGAGTGGCAAATGACTATAGCTGGGGAGAGAATCAGTGGAGATGAGTTAGGTAGTCCAACTGAGAGACTGTGGTGGCTTGGGCTAGGATGGTAGCAAAGGAAATGCTAGGACACAGTGGGATTCGGGAGGTATTTTGGAGGAAGGCTAATGGGATTTGCAAATGGATCAGATAGGGCTGGGGAGAAGTTGAGGTGAAGGAAAGGAAGGAATCAAGAGAGAACTCTTAGGTTTTGGATCTGAACAGCCAGGTACATGTTGTTGCTGATAACTGAAATGGAGAAGAATTGAGCACATTGTGGGTGGAGAGGAAGAGGGTAGTGAGCTAAAAGGATCAAAGGTTTTATTTTTGGTGCTTAAGGTTTGGAGTTCTAATAAACATCAAGTGGAAATGTTGAGCAGACAGTTGTGTGTGTAGTAGTATAGTCATCTCTCTGAATCTTCTTTTAAAGTAATTCTAACTTATCAACAGTTGCCTAATTTGCTTTACCTGCTTCTAGTAAGATCAAGTAGGGTCTCTTTCTTTTCAACAACAGTGAGGCACCTGTCCAGTGAGAGAATTAGGTCATTGCCATGTCCAGAACTCTTTTTCTAAGTTTCTGATTAAATTATTTGGCACTGGTAAAGTGTCATTCTTTATTAGCTGTACAGAATTTATAGAATACAGAGAAGATGACAAATTAATAACAACTTTCAGTTCTTTGGTGAACTTTTTTTGACCCTAGATGCATTTGTTCCGGCCCCATGCTGACTCTCTGTCTTGTGTGCTCTCCTGTGGAGCTGTCAGTTTGTACAGGAAGTCCTGAATGAACTTTCCATCCTTCCCATCATCACTGTGTTACAGAATTTCTGGCCCTTTATGGTCCCAGGCTCCCATTTAGAAGGAAATCTCGGTCCCCTTCCCTTGGCCCCAAGCTCTTTTGCTCATGATGTGTGAGACTAGTTATTGAATGAAGTGCCCCTTTCTTGAGCGTAACTTTCTGAGAAGAGAAAATTGGATCCCCTCTTAAAGGAGAAGCCCTGGTAATGTGTCCTGATTCTGCTTGTGATAGGTAGATGTAAAAGAATATCTTGAGTGCCCAGAAGTGTATTTTAACATCACCTTTGATTGAAACATTAGCACCTAAAATAAAATCAGAGCAATTTAATCACAAAGACTAGCGTAAACCAATAAATCAACGCACTGAACTCAAACGCAGGAGGAAAGCTCTTGCTCAGACTCGAGCCCTTCAAAGAATGACACCTCTTCAAATGTAGACACTGCCTCAGGCATCATACTTAGAGTCTCGAGTGATGGGCTGCATGACCAGAGAATCCTAAAGAATCTAATGTGTGTCTAACGCAGGCTGTACATTGGGTTCGTGCTTTTGGAGATGATGTCTGTTAATTTTTCTCTTGCTTTTCTTTCGTTTCTTGAAGGTGGGGTTTGTTAACCTCATCATTATTGACATTTTGGGCTGGACAATTCTTTGTTGTATGGGCTGTCCGGCGTATTGTAGGATGTTTGTTAGCATCCCTGACCTCTGCCCCCTAGATGCCAGGAGCACACCCCTCAGTTATGACAACCAAATATGTCTTTAGGAATTGCCAAAAGCCCTTTGGTGAGGTGTGGGGGAGCGCGGAGAGGGGAGAGTGGCCGGGCCAGTCTGCCCCTGGTTGAGAACCACTGCTTTAGGGCAATCATAATTGGTTAGTGCTTCGTTGTTGGCACCTATTCATGCAGTGAAATTATACTCTTTGCAAAATTGAGGTACGTTAATTACAAAACAAAATCTGGTATCAGTGAATGTGATTTTTAAAAAGTATCATTTCTATATTACCAAGTGTCAGCTGTTTGCTCAGTTATTTATCTAGTTTTATCTTTGTAAAAATATGTTTCTTTAAGAAACTTTCTTTTTAATGTTTTGCTTTTTAAAATTTCACTTAAGTTGTCCCATATATTAGTTATAACCCATAATATTTGAGGCTTACTGCTTTCCCTTAGATTAATTAGATGAATTAGTTTTCTTTTGTGTAAAATAAGAGTAGTAGTTCTAAAAATTTGTTGTATTTTATGTAAATATATACAAGAAAAAAATCCAGAGGATATGTTAACAGTAGGATTAGAATTACACAATATTTTCACTGTTATATTTTCCTTTGAGGTTTCAGTTTTTTAATATGAGCATGTATTATTTTTGTAAGCAGACAAACAATTCAAGTAAATACATTTTAAAGTCAAGTCTCTTCCTTTTGTTTAAGTGGCTTTCTGACAGGAAGAAGAGAGCACTACAGAAGAAGAATGTTGGTGAGTTTTATTTTTTCCCACTTTAGCTACATTCATGATCCGTGTTCTAATGCTTTCACTCATTTATTACCATATTTAAGTGTAGGTTTACAAAATTGCAGTGGCAAATAAACTTTTTGCCCTTTTCCTTCTTAAGAAACCTTTTCTTGTGGTTGATACATTCCTGGTGGGTGTGGGGTTCAATTTTAGCTACATGCTAATAAGTTGGCCTATTACTGTTTCTTGGATAATAGCAGAAGACGTAGGCTCCTGGGTCAGAGAACCTCATGCAGCACAGCAGATGGCATGAGCATCAGCATGTGTCTGTCAGCTCCCCTTGCCCTTAAGTCCCACGGGGCACTCAGCACGGCCCAGAGGGATGCTCTGCATGCAGTGGGTTTGTGTTGCAGCTGAGGAACACTGAACTTGGGAAGTACACTGCTTTTATAGCAATCAGTAAGCAAGCCTGTCTTTGTGTGGAGGAGACATGTTACCTCACCTGTCAAGGTTCCCAGCTGCGTAAATAACCCTGAGAAATGGCTCAGATTAAGGAGTGGCCAGGGCCTTGCAGTCTTGCCATACCCAGCAAGATGTGCAGGAATGTAAGAGGCCCAAGAAGGACTGTCTTTCCTAATGGTTCCATAATTGCTTTGTTTTCCAGTGTATCAGAATCTTTTTCCATTTGTCAGTTTTTGAGATATAGAGACAATGAACGTTTTCTTTCTGAACAAAGTAATTTTATATACAGGACATAAGAACTCGATAATAAAAGATCATTGCAGAAGATTTTGATTCTTTAGATTATGGCAGCAGAGAAGATAGACATGTAAGATTAGTTTTTAACTGAAATCATTTTGGACAAATTTTCATTAAATTTTCTCCATTACAACTTGTCATATATGAAAAGTGATTTATCTTCCCATATATTTTAAATTATCTAAAACTCAAAGACCCAAGATATTGAAGGGTTTCTGGATGTGAGATAAGTACCCTAAGGAAGCATTTTGGAAAAGTAGGCTTTATTTGGTACTAAAGTTAGAAAATTAAAACTTTAAACCAAAGGAAAATGAAAATTGCTGCTGATTCTGATTTCTTTTGACTCATTCCACTGCAATGTTCTAGTGTGTAAGAAAACGGATTCAGGTTAAGGAAAAAATTGTTCATTGACTCTTTCTGCCAACCCATCTCAAAACTATCATGTGTCTTCCAGATTGAGTAGGCCACTCCTACTCAGTTGGTTTGAAGCTGGTATTTGAGTTTAGTAAAGAAGGCAGTAATATGCATAGAGTTGTAAACAGTCCTTGCAGTGGGCACATGGTTATGATAGCGGCCAGCAAGGACCCACACTTTCTTGCAGGAGGGAAGCAGTTTTCGGGAGAGTCCCTGTTAGCGTTTTGATCCAGAGGGACTGCTCTGAGTCTCCCTGTAGCCGGGATCCTCTCGGCTGCACGTCAGTGGTGCCCACAGAGGCAAAAGTCAGCTTGGTAGCAGTTTGTTATATAAACTTAACATTTTAATAGTTTAAACTTGTTATTATTTAGGAGGGAAAAATGATAAGATTTTTGTCATAGCCATGATTGAGTAACAATAGTGGCTTAATGTTTATTCTGTTCCCCATTTATTCGCATCTTAAGACTGGAAGTGTGATGCACTATTATGGACGTTTCCTTTTTCAATTAATGATGATACTCTTTCCTGTTTAAAAAGTCAAAATAGAAAATAAAAAACTTAGCTTAGAAACATAGTGTATGACCTAAGAAGAACTCTTGCTGTGTAGTGGGTGAGGCCGTCCTGGTGTGCTCCCAAGGCTGGGGTGCACTGGGCCTGATGGACCTGTTTGCAGTGACTGCTCTGAATGCTTTTTCTTCCTGTGATAGAGAGTAAACACATGGTAGTTAAACCAGTTAATTTATTTTCTCTCTTTGTAGATGTCCGTAGAAGAATTGAACTTATTCAAGATTTTGAAATGCCTACTGTTTGTACCACTATTAAGGTGTCAAAAGATGGACAGTATATTTTAGCAACGGGTAAGCATCTTTTTGGTTATGATTTACATACATTTCATAGCAGGAAATGCCATGGTGAGAAAAGTCACTTTTTTTTTATTACCGTAACATTTTATTATGAAAAATTTCGAACATACAAAGTTATTAAAAAAAATTTACAATGAACATCCATTTACCCACCACCTAGATGCTGCATTAGTTTGCTCTATTTGCTTTTTTACATATTTATCCTACCCATCTTTCTGTCCAACCATCAGTCCATCCTCGTTTTTGATGCATTTCCAAGCAAGTTGCAGATATCAGTATACTTCACCCCTAAATACCTCAGCATATATATCATTAACTAGAGTTCACTATTTGCTTATAGGTTTTTTTAAGGTAAATTTACGTAGAGTGAAATGCACAAATCTTAAGTGTACCGTTTGATAAGTTGACGAATGCATACACTTGTGTAGCCCAGACCCCTATCAAGATATAGACATTTCCTTTCGTCCAGAAATTTCCTTCGTTCCCCTCATGGTCAGTCCCTGCTCCCACCCATGCATAGGCATCCACTGCCGTGACTGATTTTTTCACCAAAGCCTGTCTTAGAACTCTATATAAATGTAGTCATATGCTTTATGTATTCTTTTTGTCTAAGATTTATTTCACGTAGGACTTTATATTTGAGATTCATGCCTGTTTTTTATATGTGTCAGTAGTTTGTTCTTTGTTTTTTATTACCAGATAGTATTTCCTTATCGGAATATATCACAGTTTATTTATGCATTTTCCATTTGATGGACACCTGGGCTATTTTCATTTTTTGGCCATTGTTTATAAAGCACTATGAACAGTCTTATACAAGTCTGTTATGAGGACATTGCTGGGCTGTAGGGTAGGTGTATGCTTAGTTTGATAAAAAAACTGCCAGGGTTTTTTCCAAAGTGATCAGATCGTTTTACACTCCCACAAACAATGAATGAGAGTTCCAGGAAAGATCACTTTTTTCTTTTTTTTTTTTGAGGAAGATTAGCCCTGAGCTAACATCTGCCGCCAATCCTTCTCTTTTTGCTGAGGAAGACTGGCCCTGAGCTAACATCCATGCTCATCTTCCTCTGCTTTATATGTGGGACACCTACCACAGCATGGCTTGCCAAGCAGTGCCATGTCTGCACCCGGGATCCAAACTGGTGAACCCCGGGCCGCCAAGTGGAACGTGCGAACTTAACTGCTGCACCACCGGGCCAGCCCAAGATCACTTTTAACATAATGATTTTCTGTATCACGTACTAATATTTTTTATGTCACTAAGGTATTCATCAGTATCAAAAAGCCATGAAATATAGGGAACTTTTAATGTGTTATCGTTTAGAACAGCATTACCCAACCTGTTTTAGTTGTGATTTTGGTACATATATCCTGTGTATTGTCCACATAACGTTTTTTTATCTGCTTTAACATTACCCATCTATATCCCTCTTGCAACCATTTTCTTATTTGACAGAACGTTTATACATCTGCATGCCAGTGTCTTTTGTTCTGTGTTGATGGTTGTCTCAGTTGACTAACACTGTCCACATTTCAAGCCTCCAGTTTTATGTTCAGAATATGTATGTGTATAGTTTCACACATGTAAACAATTACCTATTATGTAATATATACTGTATATTATATATAGTGTGTGTGTGTATATATACACTATACTATATACTATTTTTAAATGAGATCTTGGGCTTTGATCCATGCCGGTAAACACAGGACTCCCTCATTCCTTTCTTTTAAAAATATCTTTATTAGTTTTAAAAATCAACCTTTTTCTTTTCCTGATTGCAAACATGATAAACTTATAAAAAATGGAAATATTATAGAAATACATAAGATAAAATGTAAAAGGCCCTAAAATTGCACTTTGCAGAGAGAGGCAATCACTCTGCTATTCCTCCACCTTTTTCTGTACAAATTACTACATTATCCCTGTTGAGTTTTACAAAGGTGGGGTCATACTGTGGTGCTCCCCCGGCTCTTCGTACTCACTCTCTCACTTTGCACTGTGGTTTGGCAGCTTTCCATGTCAGTAATTACAGGCCTGCGTCATCCTCTTTATGAGCTATGTAATGATTTACTGTCATTTATTTAACCATTTCCCTACCAGTGGACATTGTATTTGCTTTCAGTTTTTGACCATTTGTAAACAGTGCTGCAATGAACATCTCTCATGTCTTTGGTACACTTGTGGGTGTGTTTCTGTAGAATAAATTTGTATAAGTTGAAATACAGGTTCAAGGTGTATAAACAAAACATATATTTTACAGGTATTGCCAGATTGTAGAAGTTGTGACAATTTGTGCTAATCCCCAAAGTATGAGTGTACTTTTTTTTAACATCGTCACTAACACAGATATTAACCATCTTTTCATCTTTGCCATTCTGATGGACAAAAACTATTTCATTGTTTTAATCTTCTTTGTTAGATAATTTGTGAAGTTTATTAGTGATTTGTATTTCATTTTCTATGACTTCTTTGTTTATATCCTTTGTGCCTTTCCCCTTGCGATGTTGGGAGGGCTGCTTTTAAGTTCTTTTCCTTTGATATGGTTATCATGAATCCGGCTTACCTCTGAACAGAAAGTGTACTCAACGTATCAATGAGATACTGATAATGAAAAGTATGTCCTTAGGTTTTACATCATCTTAATTTTTTTTACAGGAACGTATAAACCTCGGGTTCGATGTTATGACACCTACCAGTTGTCCCTGAAGTTTGAAAGATGTTTAGATTCAGAAGGTAAGTAAGAGGTTAAATTTGAATTCATGAAAATAACTTTTTATACAACATGCCTTGGAGATATTGTGGGTTCAGTTCCCAACCACCACAATAAAGTGAATATCACAATAAAGAAAGTCACATAAATTTTTTGGTTTCCCAGTGCATGTAAGAGTTATGTTTACACTATACTGTACTCTGTTAATTGTGCAATAGCATTATGTCTAAAAAGACAATGTACATACCTTAATTAAAAAAACCTTTATTGCTAAAAAATTATAACCATTATCTGAGCCTTCAGCAAGTCCAAATCTTTTTGTTGGTGGAGAGTCTTGCCTCGGTGTTGATGGCTGCTGACTGACCAGGATGGTGCTCGCTGAGGGCTTGGGTGGCTGTGGCAGTTTCTTAAAACAGGACAACAATGAAGTTTGCTGCTTCGATTGACTCTTCCTTTCATGGTTTCTCTGTAGTACGTGATGCTGTTTGATAGCATTTTACACACAGTAGAACTTCTCTCAAAATTGGAGTCAGTCCTCCCAAACCTTGCCGCTGCTTTATCCACTGTTTATGTAAATCCTTTCTTGTCATTTCAATAGTCTGCACAGCATCTTCACCAGGATTAGATTCCATCTTAAGACACCGCTTTCTTTGCTCATCCGTAAGAAGCAACTCCTCACCCGTTAAAGTTTTATCACGAGATTGGAGCAATTCAGTCACTTCTTTGGGTTTCACTTCTAGTTCCAGTTCTCTTGCTCTCGCATTGGCAGTTCCTTCCTCCACTGAAGTCTTGAACCCTTCAGAGTCATCCATGAGGCTGGAACAACTTCTTCCAAACTCCTGTTAACGTTGATATTTTGATCTCTTCCCATAAATCCTGAATGTTCTTAATGGCATCTAGAATGGTGAATTCTTTCCAGAAGGTTTTCAGTTTACTTTGCTCAGAGACATCCAGAGGAATCTCTATCTGTGGCAGCTATGGCCTTACCAAATGTATTTTCTTAAATAATAAGACTTGAAAATTGAAATTACTCCTTGCACCTTGGGTTGCACAGTGGCTGTTGTGTCAGCAGGCATGAAAACAACATTAATTTCACCGTATATCTCCATCGGAGCTCTTGGGTGACCCAGGTGTATTGTCAGTGAGAAGTAATATTTTGAAAGGAATCTTTTTTTTCTGAGCAATAGGTCTTAACATAAAATATTCAATAAACCTTATTGTAAACAGATGTGCTGTCATCTGGGCTTTGTTGTTCCATTCATAGAGCACAGGCAGAGTAGATTTAGCATAATTCTTAAGGACTCTGGGATTTTCAGAGTGGTAAATGAGCATTGGCTTCAACTGAAAGTCACCAGCTCCGTGAGCCCCTAACAAGAGAGTCAGCCTGTCCTTTGAAACTTTGAAGCCAGGCACTGACTTCTCCTCTCTAGCTATGAAAGTCCTAGACGGCAGCTTCTCCAACAGAAGGCTGTTTGATCTACATTGACAGTCTCTTGTTGAGTGTAGCCGCCATGATTAATGATCTGTGCTGGATCTTCGGGATGACTTGCTGTGGCTTCTGCATCAGCACTAGCCGCTTCCCCTTGCGCTTTTATGTCATGGAGATGGCTTCTTTCTCTAAACCTCTTGAACCAACCACAGCTAGCTTCAAACTTTTCTTATGTGGCTTCCTCCCCTCTCAGCGTTCACAGAATTTAAGACAGTTAGGGCCTGGCTGTGGGTCAGGCTTTGGCTTGAGGGAACGTTGTGGCTGGTTTGCTCTTCTATCCAGACCACTAGAACTTTCTCCATATCAGCAATAAGGCTGTTTTGCTTTCTTGTCATTCACGTGCTCACTGGAGTAGCACTTTTAATTTCCTTCAAGAACTTTTCCTTTGTATTTACAACTTGGTTAGCTGTTTGGCACAGGAAGACCTCAGCCTGTCTTAGCTTTCGACATGGCTTCCTTGCTTTAAAGTGAGAGATGTGCGACTCTTCCTTTCACTTGAACGGTTAGAAGCCCTTGTAAGGTTACTAATGGCGTACGTTCAATATTGTGTTTCAGGGACTAGGGAGGCCTGAGGAGAGGGAGAGAGACAGGGGAGTGGCCAGTGGGAGCAGTCAGAACACACAACATTTATTGGTTGAGTTCACCATCTTATGTAGGTGGTTTGTGGCACCCCAAAACAATTACAATAGCAACGTCAAAGATAACTGATCACAGATCACCATAACGTATGTAATAATAATGAAGAGGTGTGAAATATTGCAAGAATTACCAAAACGTGACACAGATATGAAGTGAGCAAATGCTGTTGGAAAAATGGCACCAATAGACTTGTTTGACCCAAAGTTGCCACAAACCTTCAATTTGTAAAAATAGTATCTGCGAAGCGCAATAAAACAGAGTGCAATAAAACGAGGTATGCTTATGTTTGGCTGCTTTTCTGCTCATTAAAATGGGAACGGGTTGTGTATTAGTTTTCTTTGCTGGGTAACAAATTATCATAAACGTGGCCACTTAACCCATCCATTTGTTGGCTCACAGCTCTGTAGAAGTCCATCCAGGCCCTGCTGTGGGCTGTGCTCAGGGCTGGACTCAAGGCCTCAGCCACGTGGGACTCTTATTCAGAGGCTCTGGGCAAGCTTCGTTTTTAAACTTTCAGGTGTTTGGCAGAATGGTTTGTTGTGGTTGTAGTCCTGCGGTTCCTGTTTCCTGCTGACTGTCAGCCTGGGGCTACTCTTAGCTTCTGGAGGCTTCTTGCGTTCCTTGTCATCACCTTGTCCCCTCTACCTTCAAACCAGCAACAGCCTACTGAATCCTTCTTGTGCTTCGAATCTCTCTGACTTCCCCTTCTGCCACCAGCTGGAGAAAACTCTGCCTTTGAAGGGCTCATGTGATTATAAATCTCCCCTTTGCCATATAATGTGACGTAATCATGGGAGTGATGTCATCACATCCACAGATTCCACCCACATTCTCCAGAAGAGGGACCTATACAAGGGGGCAGGTCGGTGGTGTCATTCTTAGAATTCTGCCTAGCACAGAGGGCAGGTTGGAACAGGAGAGTTCAGGTATTTTTATCTGGTGGACTCGTGTTTGAGATTGAGGGAAAAGAAGTTTTAACCTGTTTCACACTTTTGTTTTTAAAAACAATGCAAATTCCATGTGCTGCTAATGAAAACTGTTTTCACTCTTTACTTTTGTTTAGCAGGTATACTATGAGTGAGTAAAAAGTTACTGTTATCTTTTTTTTTTTCTTTTTTTTGTTGAGGAAGATTCGCACAGAGCTAACATCCCTGCCAGCCTTCCTCTATTTTGTGTGTGGGTCACTGCCACAGCATGGCTGATGAGTGGTGTAGGTCTGCACCTGGGATCTGAACCTATAGACCCTGGGCTGCTGAAGCACAGCACACAGAACTCAACCACTACACCATAGGGCCAGCCCCATGTTATCTTTTTTTAAAGCAACAATGTTTTAGTGTTTTTCAGTGTCTATTATTTTATTTTGAACATCTCAGAAAAACCGTGGCAAAATTTAGAAGTCATTATGTTTGATGAATTTACTTATTTTTTTATTAAAGATTTTATTTTTCCTTTTTCTCTCAAAGCCCCCCAATACATAGTTGTGTATTTTTAGTTGTGGGTCCTTCTAGTTGTGGCATGTGGGATTCCACCTCAGCATGGTCTGATGAGCGGTGCCATGTCTGCACCCAGGATCAGAACTGGTGAAACCCTGGGCCTCCAAAGTGGAGCTCGCAAACTTAACCGCTCGGCCATGGGGCCGGCCCCTAATTTACCTATTTTTAATTTGATCCAGTTCAGCAGAAAATCTAGTTGATCTGTATTGAGAAATTATAAGGCTTTTGATTTTCCATTTGGTGTTTTTGGGGCAATTTAAAATGGCAACTTTGTTCTTGATTTATGTAGGGGCAAACAAGGAAAACAAAAGCCAGCATTTGTATATAATTTTTGTGTTGAATTAGAATCTTTGCATCTTTGGATTTTTATTAAAAAGCAGATGATAATTTTATTTTTTCTTACTATTTCTTGTTTTCCAGTTGTCACCTTTGAAACTTTGTCTGATGACTATTCAAAGGTATGCTTGAGAGCGTTGGTTTGTATTGACTATAATTGAGAAATGAATGAGTGGAATTTGTTTTTATGATAAGTATTTTTACGATGTTCCCATTGTTAAAATAAAACCTATCATTTTTGGTTAATACATTTTTATGGTTTGTCACATGTATGATCCATAGTATCTTTTAAAACAACAGTGATAGAGATACCTTTGGCAAGTCTAAGACCAAAATAAGCTTTGCGTATCACAGATGAAACTTTATTTATGTTTGTAAGGATTGGTAGCAGTCATCATTTTTGGACCACTTTATATTCTAAATGTGTGATTTTCATCCTTGCATTTAAATTAGTGTTATTTGCTGGATTGCTTTCATTTTCTTGTTCACATGTGAAAGGTGAAAGAGTAGTGTACATTGATTTTCTTAACCCTGCAAATAAATGGTTGTGGCATATTCTGAAATACAAAACACAACTAAGTGCGTATATATTTTCTTTCTTTTTTTGGTGCCATTAGTCCGTCTTTCAGTTCTTGTGGTCATTTTCAACAGAAGATTGTCAGTAAAGTGCCTTATTCAATTTAAAGTGAAACATTTTTAGTGATGTCAATGTCATCTTGAAGGAAAACTGAGTTTTCTGAGCTGATACGGCTTTATACATTGTCTTCAGTTCTGGGAACTGTGGACTATGGTTTTATCCTTTTGCCTATGGCAGCCATTTAACATGTGATTTGGGACATATAATTTTGTAATGTATTTTCTCTAGATATTGATAAATTTGCTTTTAAATACTCTGCAGATTTTTAAGATATCTTCATAATACATTAGAGTTAAATTTATACAAGGTGTTATCAAATCGTATGTGATGATTGTGAGATTATTAAAATGTGTTCTTAAGTAAAGTAAGAAACTATTCACTGAGCTTACTGAGCGGTGCTCTCTATTAGAAGGTGCGGGTACCAGATAAGTGAAGGACATTTGTCTTAAGTTGTTCAGTTCGAATGTGAGGTTTGCAGAAAAACTATTTAGGGTGCAGGAAGGCATCGAGAAGCCAATGGAGAGGTTTGGTTCTTAATCACAGTCTTTCATCATGATGGAGAGTTGTGTGTGTACACAAGTGTTTACAGAGAGAGGAGGGTGAGAGAGGTCAGGGCTGTCCTTGCTTTGCCAGTTTTGATAATGATGATAAAATAAACCCTTTACCTAGAAACCTAGGCAAACTAATTTTTTTGTTTCATTTTCAGATTGTCTTCTTACATAATGATAGATACATTGAATTTCATTCACAATCAGGTTTTTACTATAAAACCAGAATACCAAAGTTCGGGAGAGACTTCTCTTACCATTATCCATCCTGTGACTTGTACTTTGTTGGCGCAAGGTATTGGGTCTAATCACTCTTTGTTTTCTCCTTTCCGACTTCTCAGACAACTTCTGTTCTTAAAACTGAGGAGCGGGGTTAAAAGAAGAATAGTGCGTGACCCCTGACTTTCAGTTGCTCAGAGGGTGTAGTTCCAAAGTGACTGGCTCCCTTACGAGTGACGTCGTTGACTTTTATTAACATGGTGCTCTCAATCTAGAGAGAAACGAGGGTAACCTAATTGGTGCTGAAAGCAGTTTCTTAGGCCCGTTGCACGGCATTTTAAAACTCTGAATTCTTAAATGCTACCTTCTTTTATGATTATACATATAATATCCATTTTAGAAAATTGGGAAAATATAAAAATATATAACAAAGAAAAAAATCACCCATAATTATGCAACCTAGAGGAAACCCTTATTAGTGTTTTATTGTGTTTCCTTCTAGTCTTTTCTTATATACACATGTGTATACGTTTTGGATCTTGTGTTCCTCCTGTTATTTGTAAATACAGTCGTGTTTCTTCACAACGGGGATACGTTCTGAGAAATGCGTCGTTAGGTGATTCTGTTGTGGTGCGAACATCGTTGAGTGTGCTTGCACAAACCTAGATGGTCAGCCTCCTGCCCACCTGGGCTGTGTGGTACAGATCCTATGGAACCGCCTTAATCTGTGGGTCTGCACTCATGTGTGCAGTTCTTTCTTGATGGAAATGTCATTGTATGGCACATGATTGCAATATTCTACTTAATGGCTTCATAATATTTTCATGGCACATGTGTGGTTTAGAATCACTTTTCTGTATAAACAAACTCACAAATAAGGTGGTTATTTTTAGGTTTAGAATACATTTTTCTATCAGTTTTTACAAAGGGAATGCCTTAGCAATAAAATATATTTCTAAAAATTACATTTACTTGAAGAAAAGTTCATTTTAGTTTACCAGATTTTTAACTTTATTCGTTACTTTGCAGCTCTGAAGTTTATAGGCTAAACTTAGAACAAGGACGGTACCTGAATCCTCTACAAACTGATGCTGCGTGAGTATTTTGTCAGAATACTGCCATGTTTATTTTGGCCAGGAGATGGAGCCAGATACTGAAGTCACCACATGTCCTGTGTTGCATTTAAGCAGAGCTCTGGGCAACTTAGTCAACACGAGTACTGTTAAGTTTTCTTCTTAAACAAAAAATTCACCGAAAGACCTGATGTCTTCTTTAAAATTAAAAAAATTTTTTTATTGTTTTTTGTGGTTTTTAAAATTTTTCATTCATGATTTTGTTTTGTGATATTTTCTCTTGTGGAGAAGTTTTGAATTAACTTGGAGTACCATTTTGAAAATTTTATTTTTTGTGTTTTTTCTAGCAGACATTTAAGGCTTTTTTCAAGTTTTCCTTTTGTCCAATGTTATAGTCTACATTTTTGTTTTATTTAAAGAAATCCTTTGGGAATGAATCTGTCATAATAATATTAATACTGAGCAATAACAAAAATAATAGTGAAAGTGCTTACTACGTGCTAGGCACTATTTAGTATTTAATGTATATATAATAACTCACTTTAGACTTGTGACACATTTTTATGGTAGGTACTATTGTTATCTCCATTTTACAGATAGGGCAGAGAGGCTCAGAGAGAGTAGCTAGCTTGTCCAAGGTCACACAGCTAGGATTCTTCTTCTCTGTGTATATAAGGAACTTGTTGGATTTTCCTTATTGCTTTCAAAGGGTTTTTAAAGGTTAGAAGAACTCATAGTGATAAAAAGCAAGTAAACTCTTGGTATTTTCTTTTCCCTTTGGCTTGAAATGCTCTTATTTTCTTTAAAAAAATTTATAGTGACTTCATGATGCCTTGTTGAATAATAAAAAGTTACCTGCTCCTTAGCTGCGTAATTTCCTGTTTATAATAACAGCTGCTGTTTATTGAGTATCTTGTAAACTCTGGACATTGTGCTGAACATTCTGTAGTTTTTTAGTTTAATCCTCACAACAGCCAACTGAGGTAGGTGAAATGCTCATTTTACAGGAAAAGAAAACTAGGCTTAGATAGTGTGCCCTGCTCAGGTCTCAGGATCAGCAGAGTCAGAGCTCGTGTTCTTCCTGCTGTGGGAGAAAATGCATTGAGGAAGTGGAAAGAACCTTTATTCTCCTGGCAGCAGAATAGTATTTCAGAAGGAGGTCCTTTCTTGTCTCATCCCCTGGCAGACAGAGTGTCACCCTGGGCATCAGAGACTCCGGTGGCCGGGTGCCACGCCCTAACCCTTCGTGCCTCAGTGTTTTCACGTGCAGAGGCTGAGGGCGAATCTGCGTGTCTTCTTTCTCCATGGAATCAGATTGGCTGTTTACTTAGAAAGTTTGTTCAGTATCCCTCCCCACTAAAGTAGATGCTAATACTTTCTCCCTTATTGCTTTACTGTTTTAGGGAGAATAATGTTTGTGACATAAATTCGGTGCATGGCTTATTTGCCACAGGAACAGTAGAGGTAAGCATCCGTGGACTTTATCTTTTTAAATATTTGTTTCACATTTGATAATGAATGGGGTTTTGTTTAAAGATAGAGTTGTTAGGTTGCTCAGAGCAGGGTGCTAATGAAGTGACAAGCCACTGGTTTGCTTTTTGTATGGAGCATTGGTAACTTCCACACAGGGACACAGCCGTGCTCTTGGTGCGGACTGTGCCTCGTTACTCATCTGATTTGGCTGTATTGACGTGGGTCATCTCGAGCTAGGTGCAAAGTGACTGCTGGGCTGCCAGCTCCGGGGGAGCAGTGCGACAGCCAGTCTTGCCCTTCACAGGAGGCAGTCTGTCCTGGAGTCCCAGCTCTCTGGTGCCTACTCGTTTCATGACTGCATTGCTTTCCCTGGGGCTTAGGTTCCTCATTGGTGAAATGCAGATAGTAATACTTACCTTGCTGGCTTGATAGAGGTGCTGGTGAGAATCCCATGAAACAACCCGTATGAAAACATTATAAACTGTAAAGGTACGGAGGGTCATGATTCGTACATCCTGGATAGTAGCATTCAATAAAGACACAATACTATCTTTTTAAATCATAATACTTTTGAATCAGTGTCCTTCATACTTGTTAAAGATTTTTCTCAGTTTACATTTTTAGTTACAATAATGATAAATTATTCATAGTAAAAAAAGAAAAAGCAGTTATGTCAGAAACCTTATTTAAAAAGCGTCTTCTTGTGCCTTCCCGTCACCAAATCCTGTGCCCTAGAGGTAACTCTTTAATGAATGGTTTGCAGTGTTATCCTTTCAGGGTTTGTTTCGTTTTCTTTTTTGTATATACAGATATGCATGTGTGTTAGTAATATATTTTTCAAAGTTTTTTGCAAAAATGAAATTATACCATGGTTTTCCATTTGCTTTTTTTTTTAGCAGTGGTATATAATGTGTATCTTTATACATTGGTACTTAAAATTACTTAAAATGCTAAACTAATTTTCTAAAACCAATGGATAGGATTCTATTATTTTAATGTACTATATTAAACCAATCCCATCTGGATGAAATTTAGGTCTCTTGATACTTATTATTTTTATGTTAAGAGATTAGGATTTGCAAGGGGACCCGTGAGGTTGATGTAATAGAAATATGTAAAACTATGTTGAATGTGTTATAATACTATCACGCCAATGAAGCATTCTTTTGGTAATTACTTATTTTGAGATTACCAAGGGAATGTTTTAAAGTAGTCTCCTCGAAAAAATAGTTTTTAAAGAGTCCTTGCAGAGCAGTCTCCACTAGATATCAGGAAACATGCTCTGTAAGAGAAGTTCTGCTTAATAAGTGGGCTACTCTTTCCCGAGCTGTTTTAAGACCAGCCCTGAGATGTGTTGAGCGGTGAGTAGACCCCTCCAGCCCAAAGGTTGGGGTTCCTGAAACTTCTTGATTTCTGGGGACTTGAAATTTGATATGCACAGTCAGACCAGACTTTATTTTTTATTTTTTTTTAAAGATTGGCCCTGAGCTAACATTTGTTGCCAATCTTTTTTTTCTTCTTCTTCTCCCCAAAGCCCCCCAGTACATAGCTGTATATTCTAGTTGTAGGTCCTTCTGGTTCTGCCATGTGGGACGCCACCTCATCATGGCTTGAGTAGTGCTAGGTCTGCCCAGGATCTGAACTGGCAAAACCCTGGGCCACTAAAGTGGAGCATATAAACTTAACCACTCTGCCACGGGGCCGGCCCCAAGCCAGACTTTAAAAATTCATTTTTACGTTAATTTTGATACTGTATATCAAGTAATTTTGATTTCTTGTGTGAATTATTATAATATTTATTGTCAAAATCAGACAGTAAACGATTGCATTTTGTGCTTGTCAAAGTATGTAAGAGTGCAGGCTTTAGCAAGAGGAGTATTGAAATTTAGGTCACCGAAAATCAGTATGGTTAAAAAAAGCATTTTGTCTTTCCTCTGGAATTTATCTACATACTCATTTTTTGTTTTTGAAATATGGCTTTTCTTTTCTCTGTCTGTAAAGTCTGTTAACTCACTTTGAGAAGACTAGACCATTTGGAGTTAGTGCTGCATGTGATAAGATTTCTCCTCCTTTAGCTTTGTGACAGACACATTGGTAATAATATTAAATGATTAATGAGATCAAACCTTCTGAGTCTATTCAAGGTCTTGCTTTTCAAGGTGGTTAAGGTAGTAAACAATTTTTTTAATATCTGTGTATGTTTATAGTTTTTTATCATTGTAAAATCAAATAATACAGAAGAGTAAAAAGTGAGAAATGTAGTTCCCTCCGCCCTGGTCCATGCCTGTGTCCTTAGGTAAACACTGTTCACATTTGTTCTCTCCTCTCAGAGGTTTCCCTATGTTTGCACAAATGTTTTTAAAAAGACAGTGGCCTCATACTGTTTTTACATAAACTGCTTTTTCACGTAGCTGACTGTGGACATGTTTCTAGTACGTGTATGTCTGCATCATTCTCTGTAACTGCTGTTCAGTGGGTTATGCCACTTGCTTCCTTGCTCTGGTGTTTGAAGTTCTTTTTTTCATTTTTTTGCTTTATTTTCCCTCAGCTTTTTATTTAAAAAAAAATGTACACCTTCTGAAAAGTTAAAAACGTAGTTCACTGATCACTTGTTTATATACATTTTTCACATTTGCTTTCTTCTTTTTTTAATAAAAATGTGTGTGTGTGTGTATATATATATATATAAAAGTTTTCTGAACTGTTTGAAAATAAGTTGGAGACCTTATGACATTTTAGTCCTGACTGCTTCTAAAATGTTTTTCTTAAAAACAGAGACTTTCTCCTATAAAATCATAACACTGTTATCATAGCTAAGAAATTTAACGCTGATACAATAATACTACATAATTAATTATTTAACATTGACACAATAATATTTAAATATTTAAACTTTCCCAGTTATACCAAAATGTCTTTCATAGCTCCTGCCCCGTCCACCCTACCACCCAAAACCAGGGTCCAGTCAAGGATCATGCACTGCACTTTGGACCTTTTTTCTTTCTTTTAAGTAAAGAGAAATTCAGCTCGTGGTAAAACATTTAACAGTACTAAAAAGGGTATAAGGTAAAAAATTTTTATTCCCTATGTTAATAAGACTTTTTTGGTATTTGTCTAAAAATTTTCTAGTAGCAGTTATTATTTAAAATTACTATTTTTTGTTTGTTTAGGGTCGAGTGGAATGCTGGGACCCAAGAACTCGAAGCAGAGTTGGCCTGTTAGACTGTGCATTAAGTAGTGTCACAGCAGATTCAGAGTAAGTAGAAATTCATTTGCGCTTTAAATATTCATCAGCTTCTGATTTAAACAAATGTGTCAATACTGAATTAAATCAATTGCCAGAGGGTGAAATTCTTCAGACTTAATCTGTGGTTGTAGTTTTTGTGATTGTTTTATATAAAAATCCTCCCCTGTGAAAGCTCACTAAGAGGGTCAACCAGAATTCTCTCTCTGTATTCTCTGAAGTCCTGCATAGAATGCATATTTGATCAGTTGCCATGGAATTGTATTAAAACAAATACACTGTAGGCATTTATATTTCCAATTCTGTAGGCTCTAGTGATAGAAGGAGGAGTCCACAAGCAAAAAGATGTGCTTTGAAGTCCAGGGTCGAGAGAAGCAAGTGTTTTGGTATTTTCTTATTCCTGTTTGCCACTTCCTACCTTTAAAACAATTAGAAAGGTAGCACATACTTGGGGCATGTAAGAACTGGAGGCCCCTGCCCTTTTCTCCACTCACGGGAGTGGGCACTGTTGGACTGTTTGGTCCATATGTTTTCAGGCGTTTTTCTCTGTTCATATTAACACATAATGCGGACATAACCACTCTTGGTCAGATCCTTGGCGTGGGGTTGTTTGCTGTATTCAGTTCAGGAGCCCCCTTTCTCGGGGCTCTTGATATTCGTAGTAATGTGACTTTACTAGCATTTCCTCATTTCAGTTGCTCAAATATTTATCTATAGTTGTACATCTGGGAGGTGGAGTGTTTGATGGGTGGGCTACAGAGAGAGTGTGACCCCTCTAAATTATTGCAGAATTTTGTATGATTTGCATTTTTCTGGGAGAGAGAAGAATTCTATATAGCTCTTTCTTTTGGAAAAAAAAAATCAGCTTGTATAAAGCATCCTTGACCTAGAAAAAAGTTAAGAATCACTGAATTGGAAAGACATCTCTTTCTAATGCATACACCTTTCCCTATGTGATAACTAAAGAAGTTGATTTTTTTCATGTTTTGATTATGACATTTAAAAGGAGTATAAGAAATTTTTTTCTTGACTGTTAGTGAGTTTTACTAAAGTGATACTAATGAACAACTTTGTTAATCATGGTATGGCGTATAGTATATTAAACAGTTTTAAAGTGGGAAATTCATTCTAGATTTGTTTTTAGAATTAGACATTTTTATTATGAAATATAATACACATGCAGAAAATCTCATAAAACATTAATATACAGACTACTGAATTATTATGAACCTTTCCATTTGTTAAAAGAATAAACTAGTGGAAAATGCTTCTCAATTTCATTTTGGTATGAAAGAAAAGGAATCAGAAATCTGCCTCTTTTTGGAAAGCAGGAGATAGTTATAGGTGAACGGTATTCACATACTCCATAGGAAGTAGAGAGGTTAGTTTCCTCTTACTTAGACATTAGCTTGTCTTTGAAGTAGAGTGAAGAGACTTGGGTTCTTCTGCAAGCTCTGTCGTTAATTGTTTCATCTTGAAAAAGTCATTTAAGAAAACAGGCCAGCAGGATTTATTTGCAGTGTTTCTTAAGGCTATTTTTACTTTAAATGTAATGACTACAATAGAAGTAACACTATAGAAAATTTAAAGAAGGGCTGTGAGAAAATATTCTGAAGTGTGGTCTTGAGGAAGATGGGGTATTTATTTTGCTTTTTTAAAATAGATGTTGATTCACAAATATTTTTCAGTGGGCTTGTTTGTCCTTGGGGGTGAGGCATTTTTCAGCCGTCATGATGGAGGTTATTTTGTTTATTTAAAAAAAATAATTTGATTGTTTTGTAAAAATGATTTATACTTAGTGTAAAAAGATATTAAACAGTTTCAAAAACAGACAAAAGAAAGTAACGTGACCTCTGCGTACACACAGGCAGGTTTAATTTAAGTAACCAGGCCATTCTTGGTGCATGAAGGATGTTGATAGTTTTTTACTCTTAGACGTCTGTTTACGTTCTGTGATTGTTTCCTGAAGAAAAATATCGAGAGCCTGGATTTCTGGGTTAAACAGCATACATGTGTTTAAGGATTTGGGTACACATTGCTAAATTGCCTGATGAAAAGGTAAAAGGTAAAAACAGGTCTACTCAGAATGCCCATTCTCCCACCCTCTTGCCCAAGGCATACATCGCATTTTAATAATACTAAAATGTCAGAAAGAGCCTGGGGATATCGATTAAATTCAGCATCGTACAAATAATAGCTGACAGATAGTATTTGCTGTTTTCTAGGTAGTGTTCTAAGTACTTTACGTTAACCTACCTAATACAACAACCACCTTTGATGTAGGTACTGACATTGCGTTCATTTTACAGGTGAGGAAATATTGACCAATGCGTAAGCCTGTAAGAATTCTTTTGCAGAAGCATACTTACTTCTAGGGAAAGATGTTCCAAGTATGCTGCTAAGTGGAAAAGCAGTCATACCAAGATGATGGAATTGAGAAGCATTTTCCACTAGTTTATTCTTTTAAAAAATGTAGAATGGTTCAGAATAATTCAGTAGTCTGTACATTAATGTTGTATGAGATTTTCTGTATGTGTATTATAATTCACAATAAAAATGTCTAATCCTAAAAACAAATCTAGAATGAGTGAATTTCCCACTTTATAATTGTTTGATATACTGTACTCCATACCATGATTAACAAAGTTGTTCTTTAGTATTACTTTAGTAAAACTCACTAATAGTCAAGAAAAAAATTTCCTATAGGGAATTGTGAGTTTTATCATATTTCATAAGAAAAACAACATGGATGTAAATCACAGGGAAAAATTTTAGACGTGTACCAAAATGTTAAAATTAGTTTTGATTGCTGATTCGGTGTCAGGTGATTTTATTTAGTAATTTTTTTATACTTTGCTTTATTTTTTCCTACACAAACGTTATAAGCTCTCACGTCTGTTGTTTGACAGACATGGAGTTCTGGAAGGTGGAGCCAGTATAATGAGAGAAAGAAATATGTGTAAATATTGGATAGAGGAGAACAGGCTATCACTATTTGCAGATGATATCATTGTCTGCCTAAGAAACCCACTAGAATCAACTGGAAAACTATAAGAACTAATATGCGAGTTAAGTAAATTGGTTATAAAACAAATGTACAGCATCAGTGGCTTTGATATTCATCAGCAATATCCCGTTAGAAAGATACAATGGAAAGCAGTTTTCATTTATAACAGAAAAATTGTAAAATGCTGAGGGATAAACTTAATAAGTACCTATCTGAAAAACATGACAAAATTTTATTAAGAAAGAAAAAACATTTAAGTGAAGAAAAATAACATGTCACTGCACTGAAAAATAATTCTAGAGTTCGTTTTGAAGAGTAAATGATTAAAAGTGACATGGATGCGAGGCCTCAAGGTTCCAAACTGATGCTCAGTGCAGTTACGGGCTGAGGCTTTAGGTGGCATAAGAGACTTGAGGATGCTAATAGTCGATGGCCGGGACTGTAGGTCCTGGTCCAGGACACACAGACAATAAGTAGTGAAATCAGGACTGTTGTCCTCTTCTGACTTGTCGTCTGGCTCCCTTCTACCAGAGGCCATTGCTTTCAGTGCCGATGCTCTTGGTTGCTGAGTGAGAAGCATGTTCCAGATTCATGGCCATAGCCATTCATCATTCTCTCTTTTTACTTTTAGTCCCCACTTGGGGATTAGTCTTTTGTTTTATCTTGACATAGCTAACTTTAAAAATGGAAACGGGTGTACCCATGCCTGAATACAAAATAATTTCTTCTTAAGCAAAAAAGAGGATGTTTCTGTAAATAATCTTATCCTCACTTAATTAAAATAAAAGAAAGATATTTTCATACTGATCCTTTTCTATTGGTTTTGTATTTTGAGGAATTTTTTTTGTTTGTAGCTATTTTGAGAATATTCTTACAGTTTTTGAAGAAGGTAATGTACAGATTTTTAAAGGAAGGCTACATTTACATGTAAAGCTCATTTTTTATTTTGATTAAGAAAGTTTGGATACAATTAACTCCTAAACAGAAGGCTAGAAATAGAATTTTCCCCATTAGAATTCAAGTGAAGATTGATAAATGAATTTGTTGCTTGGAAGGAAGCTCGACCACATACACGTGGAACATGAATATTTTGCCTTTCAGGATAAACAGTTTACCAACAATCTCTGCTTTGAAATTTAATGGTGCCTTGACCATGGCGGTTGGAACGTCCACGGGGCAGGTAAGTATGTTTAAGTTGGAAACTTCACTCAAGTTCTTATTTCAGAGGTGTGTTTGTGTTGTAGGAAACATCAACAGATCTTTCACTGTGGGCACAGAAAATGAGGCATTATTGTTTTGGCCAGAGGGGCGAGTGTACTCCAGAATGCTCTATTATTTTAGGACCTTGAGAAATTCTGATTCTGGCCTTTCTGGTTGGTCTGAGAAGCTCTTGAGCTGCAGCCACAGTGGAATGTGCCTCAAGTGTTCTCTCTTTTTTTTTTTTTCTAAGATACGCTTTTTGGTGAGAAGGATTGGCCCTGAGCTAACCTCTGTTGCCGATCTTCCTGGTTTTTTTTCTCCTCAAAGCCCCAGTACACAGTTGTATATCCTAGTTGTAGGTCGTTCTGGTGTCTTCTGTGTGTGACGCCACCACAGCATGGCCTGATGAGCGGTGCTTAGGGCTGTGCCCAGGATCCGAAGCAGCGAGCCCTGGGCTGCCAAAGTGGAGCGCACAGACTTAACCACTTGGCCACGGGGCTGGCCGCTCAGGTGTTCTCTTGACTGGGGTTTAGAACAGCATTTTCCAAAGTTTGGAATTCTATTAGATTCCTACTCTTGGAGACTCATTGTACATTTAAATGTGTATTGAAGGCTCTGAGAATTCCAGTAGACAAGAAGTGTGCTTAAGAAGTATTTCCAAAATTTATTTGTTCAAGGAAGCTTTTTTTCACCTAGCACCATTAACCACATCCCATGCACTGGGTGCTCAGTGGGACATACCTCAGCACATGCTGTCTGAGGAGTCCAAATGAAATGGCTGCAGAGGTTTAATTCATCTTTTCTTTCTTTCTTTCAAGGCAGGGCCCACACACTTGTGTATTTGCTCTCCCCCCAGAACAGGTCTGAGATGCTGCTTCCAGTATAGTTCCTGCCTCTGTCATCATGGTCTAGAGAGACTGACACTGGGACTAGGATCTAGCTTCCCCAGGTCCCTGCCTCTAATGACAGGGCTTAGGAGAGACGCCTGCCCCTGCCCAAACAGTCATAGCCTTGCCACTGCCAGCTGCCTTCAATCTAACAGGACTGGGTTCATTATGCCTCTTCTTCTTGTTTCTGTCAGTCACCGTGGCAGTGCCTGGTACATAGTAGGCCTTTGGTGTATGTTTTTGTTGAATTCACAAATGACACAAATTCTTATAGACTTTTCTGTTTGTTCCTGTCTTAGTAAAGCTCAGTAGCTCTCAATCCTAATGAGCCTAAAAATTACTCTCAGGGTTGAATTTATAAAACCATGTACTATAAGGGTAATTTAAGAGAGTTTTCTAGAATATTTTTGCCAGCCGACTTTAGAATCTTTGTACCCTGAGTAAGGGTATTCATTATGTTCATAAAAAGGTAATGAAACAAATGATAGCCATTACTCTAAGTTTTAAAATCTTGCTTTTTGAAATAAAATATTTGGTTTGTTTAAACAAATAACTTTTTTTCTTTTAGGTTTTATTATATGATCTTCGATCTGATAAGCCATTGCTAGTTAAGGATCACCAATATGGGCTGCCCATTAAGTCTGTTCATTTCCAGGATTCATTAGATTTGATTTTGTCAGCAGACTCTCGAATTGTCAAAATGTGGAATAAGAACTCAGTATGTATTTTTTTGTTGAAATTATTTATTTGCCTATTTTCCTGATGTTCCTTTTCTTTCATGGGTTCTTGAGGAAGAGATACCAGGTATCCATCTGGGAGTTTAGTTGGAAGTCAGTTACTTCAGGATAGATGATAGTCATATTTGGATAAAGTAGTCGGGATTGCTTTCTTTCTATTAAGAAGTTTTCCTGATTTGTTGTAACTGGCATGGATTTTTACCTGTACAGATAGGTAGAGAATAAATCTTGTTTAAAAACATTGATCCATGAGAAACCCCCTCAATCTTGAGGCTCTCTCACACCCTTGGGAAAGTTTTTATAAGCTGCTAATTATCTTTCTATATCAGTGTTATTATACATCTCAATTTCATACCTTTTCCCCATCTCAAACAATTGGATTTTAGAAATGACACCTTTACGCTAATTTCTTATAGTGTTTTTCTTAAAAACAATGTTTTCTTAAGAATGTTTGATGTTCTCTCCCTTCAACTCTAAGTTCTATATTGCTGATTTTAATATGCCTTCTGCTTTTCATTTTTCATTTTAAAACCTAATATTTTGAGAGAAGAGTAGAAGTTAGAGCATCAACCAAATGGGAGAGAATTCATTCAGTATAGCAGTTGCTTTGAAAGATTCTTTGCATTTAACTAATTACAAACTTAGCATCTTAAGTCAAAAAGTGTCACTTCTTTTTTTTTTTAAGGGTGAATGATAGGGTTTTTATGTAGCTTTGTTTTGGGTTTGTTGTTTTTTTTGGCTAGGAAAGATTCGCCCTGAGCTAACATCTGTTGCCAATCTTCCTCTCTTTTTTTCTCTCCCCAAAGCCCCAGGACAGAGTTGTATATTCTAGTTGTAAGTCCTTCTAGTGCTTCTGTGTGAGCCACTGGCACTGCATGGCCACTGACAGGCAATGGTGTGGTTCCTTGCCCGGGAGCCAAACCTGGGCTGCTGAAGTGGAGCGTGCCAAACTTTAACCACTAGGCCATCAGGGCTGGCTCCACTTCTTTTTTCAGAAAAATTCGTTTTTGAGATGAAGGGGTGGAAGGTCCAGGACCTCAGCATAGTTGCCAGAGGACAAGCATCAGTCTTCCCTTGGGGGCTGCCTGTGCTCAGGGCAGAGATGCTACGAGCAGCCCCATCACAGTTCAGCTGCTTGTCAGAATCCCTGGCTGCTTGGAGCATTACTTTGTTTTTGATTTGCATTTTGTTAGTTCCCAAAGTGTTGACCTTACTTTCTTTTCCAGAAAGTAAGTAGCTTTTTTCAGCTTAGTTTCTTTTTCCCTCTGAATGTGTTGTAGATTCAGAGTTATCCTCGCCGTGTTCTGCCTCCCAAGGCCTAGTACCTTCCTGGGTCCTGTGACTCTGTTTGTTAGAGAGAAGAGGAAGGCTCCCAGCTTTTCTCAACTCTTGAAAGAATTACCCGATGAGTGTCCAGGAATCAACTCTGCTGCTTGCATTTGTGTGTTGGCTTTGAGCTGGAGGGTTTTGAGGACTTGCTTAGGGCGATTCATGGTGTCTTAGGCCAGAATTTTTTCTGTTCTTTTTCTGTTAATCCAAAGCTTTTAGTTTACTTTAAAACAGTATTTTTATACTCCAAATGCAGACATTTTTGTTTTTAAAAATTTGTAAAGTACTGGTAAAGTAGAAGTTGTTGTTGGCCTGCCTTCCGCCCTCCCTGAAGGTAATGACTGGTACCACTCTGGGTGTATCCTCCCAGACCCTTTGGCTGCCGCCTGGTTTTCCATAGTGTGGATTTCTGTGCAGCGTGGCACCTTTTCTTTTTGTTCCATGCTATTATAGTATCTTTTTCCCCTACTTTTTTTTCCCCCTCTCCTTCCTGTTGCAGTGGGAGCTTGAGAGGAAAGGGAGGTAGCTGTGTGGATTTCACTGTTTGTCTTAAATTAGAACTTGACTGCTGTTTTTCACTGAGCATGAAATAACCATCTTCCCCGGGCTTTGACTGTACCCCGCCTTTGCTACGGCAGCCTCTGATAATTAGTTAATAAATTCAAGAGCTGCCAGACATTTTCAACGTCAGATCTTGAAATCATCGTGCTGTAGTTGCTACGACAAGTTCTGTTGGGAGCTTGTTGTCAAAACCAAGCGCACTCTCGTCACCAACACCTGGTGACTTGGTTTTGCTTGACTTGCTTTCCTTGTTGTCTTTCTCATCACCTTTTCCCACTCCCATTTCCCTGTCTTCTGTCTTTTTTTTTCTTTTAATTTCCTTCTCTTAATTTTTTAAAATACGGAACATTTCCTCCCACATTTAAAGTAAAAATGTTTTAGCCTTAAGTATATAACAGTTGACACTTTATGTATTTGTAGGTTCATTTTGTAGGTTATTTTGTATCCGTTATCTTATTGGCTCCTCCTCAAACCCTGCGATGCAGGGATGGCGGATACCGTCCTCATTTACCATGTTGCTGTCTTTTGTTCTTTGGTTTCCTTGAGTGCACGTTTAATTGCTGTGTGCTTTCTAGATTATGAAAATTTTTTTAAGTTGATTTATAGCTTTATTATTATTTTTTTATTGCAGTAACATTGGTTTATGACATTATATAAATTTCAGGTGTACAGCATTGTATTTCTATTCCTGTATATCACATTCAGCACCCAAAGACGAATTACCACCCATCACCACACACATGTGCCTAATCACCCCTTTTGCCCTCCACCCTTCCCGCTTCCCCTCTGGTAACCACCAGTCCAATCCCTGTCTTTATGTGTTTGTTTGTTGTTGTTTTTATCTTCTATTTATAAGTGAGATCATACGGTATTTGACTTTCTCCCTCTGACTTATTTCACTTAGCATAATACCCTCAAGGTCCATCCATGTTGCCAAAATGGCAAGATTTCATCCATTTTTATGGCTGAGTAGTATTCCATTGTGTGTATATACCACATGTTCTTTATCCGTTCGTCCCTTCATGGGCACCTAGGTTGCTTCCAAGTCTTGGCTATTGTGAATAATGCTGCAGTGAGCATAGGGGTGCATGTATCTTTATGCATTCATGTTTTCATGTTCTTTGTGTGAATACCCAGCAGTGGAATAGCTAGATCATATGGTATTTCTATTCTTAATTTTTTGAGGAATCTCCATACTGTTTTCCATAGTGGCTGCACCAGTTTGCTCTCCCACCAGCAGTGTATGAGAGTTCCCTTTTCTCCACATCCTCTCTAACACTTGTTATTTCTGTCTTGTTAATTATAGCCATTCTGACGGGCATGAGGTGATATCTCATTGTAGTTTTGATTTGCATTTCCCTAATAATTAGTGGTGTTGAACACCTTTCATGTGCATCTTATACATGTTGGCCATCTGTATATCTTCTTTGGAAAAATGTCTGTTCAGATCTTTTGCCCATTTTTTAATTGGGTTGTTAGTTTTTTTGTTGTTGAAATGTATGAGTTCTTTATATATTTTGGATATTATCCCTTATCAGATATGTGGTTTGTGAATAGCTTCTCCCATTTGTTAGATTGTCTTTTCATTTTGTTGATGGTTTCCTTTGCTGTGCAGAAACTTTTTAGTTTAATGTAGTCCCATTTGTTTATTTTTTTCTATTGTTTCCCATGCCTAGTCGGACATGGTACTTGAAAATATGCCGCCAAGACTGATGTTAAAGAGCGTACTGCCTATGTTTTCTTCTAGAAATGTTATGGTTTCAGATCTTACATTCAAGTCTTTAATCCATTTTGAGTTTATTTTGGTGAAAGATAACGGTGAAAGATAACAGTTTACTTTCATTCTTCTACATGTGGCTGTCCAGTTTTCCCAACACCATTTTCTGAAGAGACTTTCCTTTCTACATTGTGTGTTCTTGGTTCCCCTGTTGAAAATTAGCTGTCCATATGTGTGTAGGTTTGTTTCTGGGCTCTCAATTCTGTTCCATTGATCTGTGTGTCTGTTCTTCTGCCAGTACCTTGCTATTTTGATTACTATAGCTTTGTAGTATGTTACAGCTTTATTTTAAACATGAGACATTATCTTTAAAACTTTGTATTTACTTTGTTGGATAAGTTGCTTCCCTGCCCCCCAGGCTTCAGTTCCTTTATGTCTAAAATGAGAGCATTTTGTAAGACGATAAAATGAATTCTCTAAGGTTTTTAAAACTTAGATTCTGTGATTTCATAGGTGATTTTATTTCTTTACATGGTAATATGTGGTTGAGTTATGTCTCCAGTTTATTTTCTTTATGTGACATTGCCAAAAGTTGTCTTACTGTAACTATTTTAATAATTCCGTTTTGCTTATTCTTTTAGGGAAAAATATTTACTTCCTTGGAGCCAGAACATGACATTAATGATGTCTGCCTCTATCCCAACTCAGGTATGCAGTGTGTAGCAACGGGTCATTCAGAGAGACAAATCTGGGCTGTGCTTTACTGGGTTTTAAACTCATTTTATTTCTCAAGACAGGGTTTGGCTTGGTCAGGACAGTTCTTGGATATTGTATTTACTTGAAGAATCCAGAGCAGGAAGTGGTGTGGATGATTCAGAAAATGGTACTGTCAGTGACTCAGTCCTCAGCCAGCCTAGCTATTAGTAGAAACTGGTAACAGGGTATAGGTAGGTGGTGGGTGAGATGCTATTTTGGTGTGCTCTTTAGCTGTTTTATGTGGTTAGTAATGGTGTGTGGAAATGGGGTTAGGGATTTGGAGAAGGCTGGAGTTGCCTGATCAGCCGCAAGGTTCACGAAGCCATGGGTTTTGGTATAGTCTGTGTTGTATGCTGTTCAGCAGATTTCAAGATTTAACAATACCTTCAAGGCAAATCTGTGCAGAATTTGGGGGTATGAGAGAAAATGAGAACACTTTCCACTCTTAAACAGTGTTGTACTCTGAGAGCAGACATACACAGATAATTTCGATAGAGGGGTATGAGGCAAAACAGGAAAAGTTGTGTTACGTGTGTACACACAGTACTTTGTCAGTGCGTTAGAGAGGAGGTTTCAGCCAGGGAGGCTGGCGGAGGTCATGGGGAGACTTGTTTGCAGTGAGTGTGGAGTGATGAGTGAGGTTTGGTAGGTGGAGCTGGGAGGTGAGGTGAACGAAACAGGAACAGACAGAAGAACAGTAAAAGAACCAACAGTTTTTGAAGTAGAGTACAAGCTAAGACAGGAATTAGTCGGTGGGCATTGCTCAGCACGTGTTAAGTATCACCGAAGTTGAGGCAGGGAGCTAAGAGTTACCAAATGCTCCCAAGTTACCACTCTAAATGATGGATGCTGTAATATTTATCATTTAATCTTTTTGTAACCCCATGTAGTTAGTAGCACCCACTTCTTTTTTCTTTTCTTTCTGTCTGTCTTTCTTACATTGCAGGAGGTGAGAAAAGTTGGGTAATTTGCCCAGGGTTGGTTGCCCAGCTGGCGTGTGGCAGAGCCTCTGTTAGAGCCTACCTTTCCTGATTCTGGAGTCCTTGTTCCATGTAGTGACGTGCTTCTCTTCCGAGAAAGATGAGGAACTCTGCATCTTTGTGCTCAGTTTTTCATCTGTGATAGTGGAGAGGATTTTATTATGATGTTTGGGGTGAGTCAAATTCTGATGAGTTCGGGAATTAATTGCAGATGAGGATGCTGGGGTCCTAGTTACTGAGTACTGAATGATCTAGAATGGAGTCTGGGCTAAGTACAGAGATGAGTAAAACCAGGTGAAATTGAAGTTGGAACAAGGGTGATGAGCAGGTTTGGCTGGATTGAGGGGGTGAGAGAGTTTGAGGGGCAGCAGGTGGTGATGAGAGAAAGACGTTCTCGGCCTGTGCTGTCCAGTTTGGTAGGTACCAGCCGAGTGTGGTGAACTAATCTGTGCCTAATCTCAATTGAGGTGTGCTCGAAGTATGAAATACACACCAGATTTCAAAGACATTCTATGAAAAGTATGTCATTCATTTTTTATATCAATAGTATGTTGAAATGAAAATATTTTGGACTTACTGGCTTAACAAAATATATTAAAATTAATTTTACTTATTTCTTTTTATTTTTTTAATGTGTCTACTAGAAAATTTTAGATCACATATGTGGCTTGTGTGATATTTCTGTTGGGCAGTGCTGGTCTAGAATTGGAGATCTTTGAACAGTTGAGGCTGCTGATAGGGTGGCAGGCGCTACAAGTCAGCGGTGGCGTGGCAGCCCTTCACCTGCGCAGAGGGCAGCATTGGCCTCCTCTGAGTGGACATTTCTAGTGGTCAGAAATACTGTTATCCCGCCTAGGAAGAATAGCTGTCATTCCCTAATATCATCTTATATCCAGTCCGTTTTCTCATTCCCTAACTGTCCCCAAAATGCCTTTTTTAGCCCATTTTTTTGAACTAGGATATAATCAAGGTTGTGTAATACATTTAGTTGTTGTGTGTCTTTAGTTTCTTTCAATCCAGAATACTCCCCCCATCTTTTTTTTTTCCTTCTCCCTGATACTGACTTTTCGAAGGTCAGGTTGATAGTCTCATAGATTGTCCCTCATCCTGAATTGATGTAATTGTTTTCCTGGTGTCTACGTTGTTCCTCCAGCCCCTGTATTTTTTCTGAGATAGAAGTTAAATCTAACAGCTTGATGTGCTGTAGGTTAAATATTTTGGACAAGAGTAATGAGCTGGGCAGCGGGGTTCTCCATGACAGACCTCATCCCATCAGTCATCCATCCCAGTGCCACTGAGGATGACAGTGACCCCTCTGTTTAAGGGGGCCGCCAGATCTCTGCATTACAAAGTATGCCTTTCTGAAACGTAAAAATTTTAAGAGTGATGTTTTGGACAGAGGAATGACTTTACTGTTGAACATCTTAGAAGCGGTTGACCAAACACACACACTAAGTCGTTTCTTTCCTGAGATCGCAAGCACAATAAGACAAGTGCCTCAGCCGCTGCTCCGGGGTTTGGATCTAAGCGTGGTTGATTCATGTGCTGTGCTGTCTTTCCCTTGCTTTACCACACCTTTTCCTTTAACGCTGCTCTTTATGTTTGTGCTTAATCATTACGAGCTTAATCATATTTTAGAAAAGCTAAAATGTTCTTCTTTCTTTATCTTCTCACTTACTCATTTTGGAGTAATTAAAGCCGAATCATGATTACTGTTTTGTAATGTTTTTCTAATACTCAGACTGCTCAGAATGTTGAGAAATGGTTCTGCCTCCCTGGCTCCTTTTAGGCTCCTGATCTTGTTGCTCATCCAGGCACTTCTGCGTCAGGCAGCTGCCCTGCAGGTCAGGGTGCACGAGAGGCAGCGGCTCTGTGGCGTGGATGCGCAGCAGCTTCACGTGATGCTTGTGGCGCTTCCCTGTGTCGAGCCCCGCCCCAGGCCTGTGGACTCAGGATCACTGGTTTCAGATCCACTGGTAGAGGGAAAAGAACATTTTGACTCAGAAAAGACCTAATTCCGGCTTCATAGTTATGCAGGTCATCCAACTTCGGTTTTCTCACCTGCCTTACAGGCTGCTGGAGGCTGTCTATACCGTTAAATGTGAAGTTGCCTCTTATTCTGTCAGTATCCTCTTGACACATAGGAAAAAGCTGTTCGAGTCATCTGTAAATACCCTTGGTGCCCTGTATGCAGTCATGAGCTGCATACTGACGTTTCAGTCAGCAGCAGACCGCATATACGGCAGCAGTCCCATAAGATTACTACCATGGAGCCTAGGTGTGGAGTAGGCTACACCATCTAGGTCTGTGTAAGTGCAGTGTGTGACGTGTGCACAACGGTGAAATCGCCTAAAGACGCATTTCTCAGAACGTATGCCCATCATTAAGCAACGTGTGAAGTGAAATCACGTGCTCCAACTTATATCGGAAGTTGAACATGTGGAAGGAAATGTCCCGGCTGCTCCCCTCTGGCAGAGTTCAGCACTTACCGCTTTTCTGCTCCGAGCTGGTCGAGGCAGTGACGATGCTGTATGTTTTAGTTATGCTTCTCAGATGTATCTGGTGAAGGACCAGGGTTTTGTTTTTTCTTTGTTTTTAAGTTTCCAATCCATTGCAGATTGATACTTTTGTAAAATATAATAAAAATGAATTACTCGAGGGCTGGCCCAGCGGCACAGCAGTTAAGTTCACACACTCCACTTTGGCGGCCCAGGGTTCACCAATTTGGATCCCAGGTGCAGACCTATGCATTGCTTGTCAAGTCTTGCCATGGCAGGCATCCCACATATAAAATATAGGAAGATGGGCATGGATATTAGCTCAGGGACAATCTTCTTCAGCAAAAAGAGGAGGATTAGCAGTGGATATTAGCTCAGGGCTCATCTTCCTCAAAAGAAAAAAAAAGAATTACTAGGAAAAGGATCACACATTTGGATCTCACTGCAACGTCCAATTGCTATACAGGTTTCTAAATCCTTCCTTTCAGTTTCTACACTTATCTCAGCTGGGTACCAGCTGGCAGACTGGCCGTGGGAGCACACTTTGAGTAGTGCTAGTACTGAGCACTGTTTCTGATTTCCAGCCGTGAGCTGCAGTGAGTCCTGAAGCCCCTGAAGCCCCTGCAGACGAGTACTGATAGGTGCTTGTCTCTGGGGAGGGCCCTGTTCCGTCCGGTTCTCTTTCCCTGCACTCGTAAACCACACTGTATATTGTGTGCTGTACTCTGCTGTTCCATACCGACGTGTGTTCTTTCCCTTCTAGGTGCTGATACTCTTTCCCTTCTTTTTTGAAATGCATATTTTTTTGTTGAAGCCGTAATAAACATCAGGAAAGGAAATTGAGAGGAAAAATCATCCATAATTCTACCTTCTCTTCACAGGCACCATTACTCTTCTCATGAGAGAAATTCTTATATTAATCATGTGTTCATGTGTTTTAAATTGTTGTCCTCTCACAATATGTATAATTCTTTTGCTTTTCAAGTTGACATTATATTAAAGACATTTTTCATGTTGCTAAACAGTGTTTAGATTGGCACTTTTTAATGGTTTATTTTTTGATTGTGCAAGAAGTCTTTTCGTTTGATTTTAGTTGGTATTGGAGTTGTAGAGTCCCGGTTGCGTGGGCTTTGGAGTAGTAGCACACCAGCTGCTCTCCTTACTGGCTGTGTGGTGACCTTGAGCCACTTCTCTCATTTCTGAGCGGCGTTCTCATCTGTGGGTGTGGAGTGCCTGGCACGGTGCTTCCCGCTCTCCCCTCTTGCCTGCGATCGGCTTCATTTCTGCTGCACTCACACTCTCTTTCACTGCTTTGGTTTTTCTGCTTCTTGCTTGTTAGAAACTTCTAATGCTCCTGGGGCTTTGTTAGGCTGTTGGTTTTTCTCATCCGTAGTTGGTTTCAGTCCTGACCCTTCCCGCTTTAGTTTGGTAGTGGGTCAGCTTGTATCACTGTCCATATATGGCCAAGCGAAATCCCGCTCCATTGTACATGGCAGTCTGCGGCATCCAGTCGGAATTCTCTTGTGTGTTTGGAGCAGAGCCTTTTCTGTGGTTTGTTTGGTAGGTGGGGTTTTGTTTCCTTGTGGAATGTTCATTGTTTGAATGTTCAATGTTCAGGGTTGAGCCAGTGAAGCCAGGCTTAGGGTATGTCTTCAGCAAGAACCTTCTTTTGGGTTGTAGTGTGTCTCTTCAGTCCCCAGAACTTCATCTGTAATTGGGTCTAAAGGGTCTAGGAGCAATTTTCGCGTGCTGTTAGTGACGCCTGGGAAGCACAGGCACTAACTTTTACAAGCTTTTGTATTAACAAAAAAAGGAAAAAATTCTTTTTAAAACATAGAATCAAATCATTGTCCTTAACATTTGGTGTATTTAATTATGATTATTTGGTCTGATAATCCAGGCGTCTTCCCTCCGTGGATTCCTCTTTTGTATTTTACAAATGGGTTTTAAAAATGAATATTATTTGGTTGATCTGTGAAAGTATTTAAAAACAAGAGCTCTTGAGTTTGAATTTTAGCTCTAAAACTCTCTAGCTCCCAACAGGACACTCCGTCTGTTTGAGCTTTGTTCTTCTGATCTGTAAAATAAGGATCATGATATTTCTTATTTTAGAGAGTTGTTGCATGTTCACTGAGATAATATATGTGAAAGTGCTTAGTAAATTATAAGGGGCCCCCAGTGGTCTCAGTTTTATTGAAAGCGCATCATTCTGGAGCAGGGGCTCTGAGGACTAGAGCTGCTTTGAGAGACTTTGGGGGAGGTGTAGGTTGCAGATGTGGCAGGGAACAGAGACATCTAGATACTTTGGTACTGTACCAAAGAACAATGGATTCCTAGGTCGCCGTTGCTACTGGGGTTGTAGGGAAACCTTTATTGAAGGCTGGCAAGTTGTTCCTTACTTCGGTTTTGCTTTCTTAAAATGCTGATCCTGAGAAGACTAAATTTTTAAGCACTCTGTTGGTTGAGTCTGTTAAAATTCCATGGTGAGTGCATCCTTTTGGTGTAGTAAGGGCTGTTAGGGTCTCTGTAGGTCCTTTCTGGTGTAGCCGCACGTAGCATTGTCCTTAAGTCATTGTGCTTTTCAATTCAGGTGTGAAGTTTAAGGCAAAAATTAGCAACTGCTTTGCCATGACATTTTGTGGGAAAATACTTTACCTTGGTTCTTTGATTCCTGATTAACAGAAGGAAGCCTTACTTCTTAACTTCCTCATTATTATTATAATAAATAGAGCACCAAAACAACACTTTATCTATGTGTCTGAAGCTTAAAACTTTCCCGCTTAAAAATGATGACAAACTTCGTGTAGCCCTGAGCACTTTATGGTGGGGCCACTCGTTTACTTAGCTAGTGCCGCCTGAGCATTTTGCAGGTGGGCACTTGGTCTTTCTGATACTTGAGGTACTCCATCTAGGAGGCTCAGGGACTGAAGCCCATGACCTGACTCCTAGGGTGCCTGGCCTCCAGGCCTGGCTCTTCTGCCATACACTGTGTTCTGAGCACCTCAAGCATTTCAAAATGTAAAACAGATAGAAAAAGCTACTTTTCTTTTTCCCCGTGTGTTAACCTTTTTCATTGTCTTTATTTTCAGGAATGCTGCTCACTGCCAATGAAACCCCCAAGATGGGCATCTATTACATTCCGGTAAGTAATACAAATAGGAGTTATGATAAAAACGGGACAAGCCAAGATACTTTATTTTTAAGCTGATGTATTGAGGGACTTTGGTTCTGCATGTGGCTTTGTAAATTAAACACAGTGGGTCCACTTGTAGGTTTGTTTGCTTCCTGGAGCCAGTAAAATAATGCTTACCCATTCTTTTATGGGGAGCTAATGTCACATTAAAATAGACATTAGAAATTAGTCTTTATTCTTCAGGTTTACGTTTGTTTTTTTTCCCCAAGTATTTCAGAATCTTAAACTTTCAGCTGTTAGTGATCGAGGTCTCATTCTAAAATCAGTCTAGAACTCTTCTAGTCATCTCATTGTAGTTTGTTTCTCTTAAAAATAAGTTACACATAAAAGAACCTATCTTCGATTGACATCATCAGTGATGACATGCAGTTTATACTCTTATCCTTTTTTTTCCTTCTATAAGAGTTCTTCTCTTACAGATGCCAGATGCTTCCTCACCTTTGCCTTTTAGTTTATAGTGGGAAAGAAACAGAGGGAAATACAATCTCCTAAACAGAAAAACCCCATAGTACAAAGTTGGCATTAGATTACTTTATAGTCAGCAAACATCTCCCTTTCCTGAGATTTGGGGGTAGGGAGGGGGCAGTGTTGAAGGTCAGAACTCTAGGGAGGGCGGACGCTCCGTAACCACTGTCAGCCTCCAGTATGAAAATTATTCTTATTTATGATGGTTCTTTTGAAATAGCTCAACAATGTGTGTATTTCCAAAAAAAAGTATTCTGGTTGATGTTGACTTTTTGTGGTTTCAGGAAACTGGTATGTTGTTGAAAGCACTTTGAGATGTTTCTTTTGGTTGATAGTGAAATGAAGGCCATTCAGACGGCAAGCTTTTCCATTTTTCTAAGTTCTCATTTTTCCCTGGACCCTCACGCATACTACTTCTCTATTCCTATCAGTTTATCCATCTTTCTGTGTCTTCATTTGTTCAATAAATATGTTAATTGATTGCATCAGCTGTGTGTGAGCATAATGCTGCGTGATCCCAGAGGCAGTAACAGTGTGTAGGGTCCTGCCTCTTTCCTCAAGGAGTTCATTGTTAGAAATAAAACAGGAACGGAGGCCATCTCCGTTCATGTGATGAATGCGGTAACAGAAGTAAGGAAGGGTACTTTACAGCACGTAGCAGGGGAGACGCTTAACCCAGTGTGGGCCTGGGAACTGGTGGGAAGTGTGGACGATGTGCAGGGAAACCTTCGTGAGGAATTGACTTCTAAGGGAGACTGAAGGGTGCTTATATATACTGGATGAAGAGGGTGGGGTGGAGTGAGGTGCAAAATGGGAGAAGGATCTTGGAAGTAGAGGGAACTGTGTGCAGAAATCAGGGAGAGAGTAACGCACGTGTCTGAGCCTTAGAGCGAGAGGGATGAGGGTAAGATCTGAGGCTGATCTGAGGCTCAGGAGCCAGATTGCAAAGGTCTTGGAAACCAGGATGAGAATGTAGGCCAGGAAGTCTTGGAAAAGTTTGAAGTAGGGGAGTGATGTGATCAGATTTGCATTTTGGAAGGGTTATTTTGGCTGCTACAAGAAGATAGGTTAGATAGGATCTAATCCAGAAGCAGTAAGAACAGGCTATAACAATCTACAGGAGAGATGATAGTGTCTGTGCTGCCTGTGCCAGGCCTCCCTTTTTAGTGGTTGGAGTGTTTTGGGTTCTGAGATAATTTGAGAGAAGTCTGATCTGGCAGGCAGTAATTTCAGAGGTTTGTTATCCTTGAACTGCCAAATGGCATGCCTCAGAAGTGTTCATTGATGAAGACTTGTGTAGATCACAAGAATTGCCTTCCCTCTGTCCAGCGTGACACAGTCTTCTTCCAGTCTCACCCTCTTTGGGAACATTGTCAAGAGAGGCAGAATAAATCAGCTTACTGTCTAAACTTTACTTCTTGTCCTGGGAAAGATCTTTCATTTTCCACTTGGGAGTGCTTATTATGTTTTGATCTTTAGCAGCTGCCTAAAGATGTTGATGTCTTGGATCATAGAGCCTTTCCCCATGTAAAACGTGTGTAGAATCAACTAGTGCGAAGTGGAAAAGCCCACTCTAAGATCGAGCGTGGAGGGCTGCCTCAGGAGGTTGGCTTGTAAACAGGGAAAGGTGGGCTGGGGAGCCCTTGGTGCGGAGGTGAGGAGGGGCAGGGCTGAGTACTTGTGCAGCGAGGCCGTCTTACTGCTTGTGCTGAGGAGGTGGCACTGGGGACAGAATTGGAAGGGTCGGTGTGGTGGAAGGTAGGCTTGCTAATGGGTCAGATGTGGGGGGTAAGGAAAAGGAAAGAACCAAAGATGACAGCCTGGTTTCTGCTTGGGTAAATGTGTGGACAAGGAGGTCATTCCCTGAGTTCAGGAAGAGGTAGGGAAGTCTTAGAAATAATTTTCCCTTTGGTCTCATATTCTGCATTTTATGAAATGGTCTTTAAAAGGAACAAACACACAGCTTTTTTGATTATGCAAATAATGTATGCATATTGCTATTTATTCCAAGTGTTTTACAAACTATAAGGAGATAAAAACCACCCGTCCCCCCCTTGATAATATTATAAGCACTATTAATATTTGAATGTATTGTCTTTCAGTTATAATGTTATGTGTGCGAAGTTGTGTTTTATGTGCAAACTTGTGTCCTGGTTCTTTGGTTAACTTTAGAAATATTAATTCTAAGGCATTCAAATTACCTAAAACATTTTTAGTTATCTCCATTATATTTTATTGCCGGGCTTGTGGCGTTTTTACAATCTTAGAACTATAAGAGACCCATTACTCACTTCTTCTTCGCTGAGTCTGTTTCTCAGGGCGGACCGTTTTGTTCCCAGGAATGGGGACATGAATTAGCACAAGTGAGAGGGGCCGGCTGACGGCTAGATTAAGAAACTGCTGTCTTGAGAAATGTTAGCTTATCTTATAAGACCTTTTTGGTTTCAACCTTGTAACTCAGATTTAACAGAAAACTGTGGCAAAACTCCGGAGACTGCTCCCAGGTGACTGCGTGTGGGGACAGTGAGAGCATAAGTTGTTCTTGCTCCGTAAGCATTGTGCTGGAACTGGTACTTAAGTGTTCCTTCCTGGCCTCCTTCCTGCCCTCCTGCCGTGAACTGAGTGCTGTGTTATAGTGCCGTTTGTCTTCATGTGGAAGTTACTTTTTGTAATATTTCTTGAAAGCAAAAAGAGAGCCCAGGGGTCTGAAAGCCTACCATTTTTCGTAAGATTTTATCAAACTTACCGAGCTGATATTTGGCACAAAGTTTTATTTGAGGCCCACAGAACCAGAGAACGATGTGTTTAATATATGAGTCACGCCAAATTTAGGAGGTTTGGACTGTGATTTGTATTAACATCTTATAAATCAGGTATGGAAACTTTTTTCTCCCCTTTGGGCCTATGCTAAAAATGAAGACTGCTTAGTGATCTTTTAGCGTGTTAATTTTTGCCTTTCTGTCAGATACCATCGTTTTTGAATACTTGAGTCTTTATAGGGTAAATTCAATTCCTGACTTCCACACTGCTGCTTAGCTCGCTGTGCCCAGAGCTAACACGTCATTTGTGGCTGATTGGATTTTCTCCAGCTCTTTCCCCACTTTCTCAGGATTCTCCTTTTTTCCCCTCTCAGAGGTCAGGATCTGTTATTTTATTTGTTTGTTTGCTTTTTAAATTCTGGGACCTAATTCAACCGTAGTTCCTGAGACTAATGTCAGGAATAGTTTTTCAAATTTGGTTTTCCCCTGAAATGTAATTTAATCTTAGGTTAATTCTTTATAATTAACCCCTTTGGCAACTATGTAGACTCCAGAGGGAATCCAAGTCCCCTCTGGCAGCCCACCGGAAGCCCAGCCAGTGCGGTTAATGTTTCTCTTGGAAACGTTCCTGCATTCCACGGCCCCAGTGCATCAGTGAGCCCCTGAAAGCGCTCATTGTTGGACAGTTGACTGTTGCATGCTTGATGATATGTATGGGTGTGTAAACGTAAGGAAAAATGTAAGAGGAAAACATACTATTATTTGCTTGGGAAGCTATTCGATTTAGAAGAATAAAAATCAGTTAAGGATGAACTGTTTTGATTTTTTTTTAAACATGTAAATTTAAGTCACTAAACAAGTTATATGCAATGTTACTGAACTCTACTTTCAATGTTGCCAGTTAGGTATTTTGGTTTTAAAACATTTTCTTAGGACAAAGAATACCTATATTGTTTTCATTGAAATGTTTTTGTTATTTACAATAAATCAATAAAACATATTAATTAAATATTTTAACATTTATATTTAATTTAAAATTATATTTGAAATCTGGAAAGTACTTTGGAGCCAAAGTACTTGCAAATGGGGCACAGTTAAAAACATAAAGGATTATATTTAACCTGCACTGGTGCTTCTGTTAGGAAACAGTGCTTGAACTTATCTGGCATAATGCGTAAAACCCACAAAACTGTCTTTGCAAATAGAGATAATTAGATGTTAAGAAGCATAAACCTCAAGAATACTTGCTTCACTTAATTATAAAACACACACACATATCCTCAAAAAGATATATATAAAGCTGAAGGAAATGCAAAAAATTCTTGGTAGCCAAATTTTTTTCTGCTAAGGAAGATTCACCCTGAGCTAACATCTGTTGCCAATCTTCCCTTTTTTGTATGTGAGCCGCCACCACATCACGGCCACTGACAGGTGAGTGGTGTAAGTCTGAACCCGGGACACCGAAGCGAAGCATGCTGAACTTCACCACGAGGCCACCAGGACTGGCCTAGTAGCCAGATTTTGTGAACTGTAATAAAAGGTTCAGTATCATGAATATCTTTAAATCCCTTCACTTCATGAGTTATCACTCACAAACCCAAAAAGGGCTGCGGCAGAGCCAAGGTCTTCTGATCCCACTGCTGGGTTCGTTTGCTCTAGTCCGGGGTTTAGATGGAACACCTGCTGCAGCACACATGGACACGAAAGGCCGGGAAGAGCTTCGTA